CAGAACTAGATTTGCAGCAAGGTTTCATTTTGTAGTTGTAACCTTAAGTTCTATGCTAACAGCTTCTTCTGTTGCACTTCTTACTTGTAGAACTATCTTACGGCTTCTTGCTTTCCAGTCAACTTTGACCTTCAAAAATTGTCAAGCATTATGTTCTTTTTCCTTAATTCCTCTTCTTTTATTGTTCTTGTAAGCGATCTGGGATTGCAAAGGAAATATTTGTCACAGATTACTTCCACAATGCAGAGAATAAATCATTAAGTTCAGATTCGAACATCGGGGACAAAAAGAAATGCCAAAAACTCGATTTGCAGATACTATCTCACAATGCATGCAACCAGTCAGAAAAATAACTCACTCTCCAACAAACACGGTAGCCAAAATACCCGAATGTTCTCTCTCCCGATTCGAGAACACCAACTGCTTTTATCGCCCAAGCATTTTTTTCCATTTATCGACAGCTGGGAGAGGACACTAAATTTTTGCATATCAAAATACTTTTATAGCGACTCCTGCGACAAACTTGTTTTTTTAATTTAAATATTCCATCTTCAGCATGTCATGTGGAATACCTGCCTTTTTTTTGGTAAGTAATTTTCTTTTTCGCCACATTTTCCATCGTAGCATACACGCAATGCACTGTCGCTTGGTTTGACAAGGTAAGTCGCCGTTTTCTTCGCTATATAATGTTTTATAATACCCAGCCTTCAATTAAAAAAATTTCAATTTGATTATCCTAAAAATATCTTTTTTATAGATTTTGAAATTTTTACTGCAACAGATTAAGTTATATATTTTTACATATTCTTAACGTTATTGTTTAAATTAATATACCTTTGGTGTGGAATCCTCTTCTTTTTATTGTTCTCTTTCCCCATAGGATTTTCCCTCTATTTTTCTTATTCTCTTTAACATTCAGTAACCCTCTCTTGATCTTCAAACATTTATTAAATTCCTTCAAGATGAATTTTAATCATTTTTTTTTTTTCTTCACAAACTGGGAAAATGGTGCTGATTGAGTTGCCTTTTTTCAAAGAGAGTGCTGTGTATTTTGATCTGCAAAGATTGGAAATAAAAAAATCAAGAGTATTTTTGCTACATCCATACAGTTGAAACCCTCATTCTTTTAAAGTTTTGTTAAGAATGGTGTTCCACCCCAGAAGCTCCCTCATGGATGCTTCCTCAGACACTACAATCCTAACCTCTAGAGTCAATTGTTATCTATCCACCATATCCTTGTAATCTTCACTTCCTAGATTCTCATCTTATGTTCATGTCACACACCTCTTTCATTAACCCTCTACTTTGAGTGGCTCTTGGGACTTCTACTGGGTGAACATGATTGGTTGGTTGTTTTTGTTTGGTGGCATATCAACATCAATGGGTTAATTAATGCCAAAATCTAGATATTTTGTATGCAGATTTATTTTATATTTGGAGATAATAATGGTTTAATGACTAACAGCTTACTAATTAACCTATAGCTGGGGGGGAGAAGAGGTGGATTCATACCTTTCCCAAGAGTATTTGCACATAAGTGAATATAACGAACCCAAGTGGAATTGGAACTCAGCTCTCTGATTAGAAAGTCATTATCCATTACACCACCTGCACATCCAAGCTTACAGTACCTGGTTTCCCCAAGTGCAGTCACTCATCTAGGTAATGATCAGGCTCAACATTGTTTAATTTTAGTGATTGTATGGCAACCAGTGTCTCAACATGATGTATAAAAATTTAATTTTTAATATTTTAAAAAAGTTATAATCATCTAAATGTACAATCATCTTGGTTGTTTTTTTTTTTTTTATTTAATGTGTGTTTTTGAGAGAAGTATATTTTATGAAGGCCAGATGGTTTGTGTAACGATTGTTGCATTTTTTATGGTCATTTTGGCTCAAGCAGTTGATACCGGCAATATTATTTGATTTGTTGCATATTCATTTTTGGAATTCATGGCGAGGAAAGGTTTCTATTTACTGGCCAATGAGAGACGATCTCTTCAAGCCCTTGTGAAAACTTGTATTGAGCCAGTATGATGCTCCTTTGTTCAATAAAAGGACTGCTATTTAGTGGATCAGCACAGAAAGAATGAACCATTGACAAGAAAGCAATTAACAGTCAACGAAGAAGCTATATATGCTCAAAAGACAGAGGAGAAGTCCATCTGAGGGGCTCATAAATCAACATGGGGAAAGAAAGAGCAAGACAGATTTTACACCCAGAACAGAACATTCCTTTCTGTGCTTTCCTGAGAAGAATATAAACCAAAAGAACTTTCAAGTTAATTTTACAGCAAAGTATTGCAAACAGCCCTCTAGCCAACTACTTGTGTAAAACTTGAAACTCCTTCACACTGGGACGTCCCTTTGGGTATTCAGTTAAAGGACTGAGTTGGATGCATTTGTATTTTCTGCCTTTTTTTAGGCTTCCTCAAAGTTCATCCCCTTAGTGACAGTTTTTTTTCATTTTTAATATTGTATCCTTTTTTCTGTAGGAATTCTTTTTTCAAAACTGTAAAGACTTTGTTTTTTTTTTTTTTTATATCTGATGGTTGTCCAAATGAACCAATTGTAATGACTTTTTCTTAGAAAATGTTATAAACCTGAAATGATATAGGTGCAAAAATGAAATTTTTGAGTTTTTTGTATTGATTTTTTTTGTAATATTGTATAAATAATGTGTTTTTCCTTTTTAAGATTTTATGCAGTGGTTGTCTTGTTTTGTAATTTTGTAATGATGATTGTGACTTGCTGTTTCTACTAAGTTTTGTGTCTGGGAACTTGGGCTTGATATGAAATAAAATTTTTATAGATGTAAGCCTGGGTGAATATTAGTTAATCACAATATTCCCAAATTGTGCCTTTTGTATTTGCATGTGTGGCACAACAGTCAGAATATTTTGTGATAACAACTAATGTTGAGGACAGTCTCAATGTAGTGTAAAATTGATAACTCCTCATGGAAGAAATTCAGGAAGAAATTAAGTTTTATTAATTGCATCAAACATTCCCACAGCAACACCACTTTTTCTTACCATTTACCACCTTCTGGCATTTCAAAGGTCAGATTGTTTTTTTTGTTGGGGGTTTATTTCTCTATTGATGTAATGGAATAACCTGTCACCTAGAAATGTAAATACACTATAGGTAGTAACTACCTATAAGTATCTAAGTCAATGGACTACAGAGCCTAGATGGAATCTGTTCCAGCTAAACAGTCAAACTCTCTGCCTTCAGGCATAGAGGAATATGGAAAATTCTATAAGTATTTGCATTTGTCTGGGGATTTAACATTTCAAAATAAATAAAAGGATTCTACAGGGAATTTTTTATCAAAACGTTAATTTCAGTTTGTGCCACATCTACCCTCCTTAGCTAGTAAATTACCTGATAGCTGGGATCTAATTAGACAATAGAAGACTCAGACTTATGAAAGAACTACCGAATCTTCCAATTGTAGCATTCACTACTGGATTTGTTTGTGATGACTTTGTGCATAACTTACCTTTTATTCTTATTGTATTGGTTTTGTACAATAAACCTTTACTTATTTTATCCACCTTGTTTTTCAAGTATATATTCCTATTCACACCGAATTTAACATCTATTGTTCATAGTACTTGGCTTGATGCTGCTTAAATATTTTTTTTATTAAATGTTCACAAAATACAAACAACTCAAAGGAGTGGGGAGGTTACTGAATGAGGTTGTTGTATAGATGAAAGAACAGGAACTAAGTGTACATTATGAGGATATATAAAATAGATAATGATTGACCATCGTAGTAGATAGCCACAAAGAGCGTGATCTTGAACAAATCAAAGTCCAGGAGTCATTTGACCACTCATCTGTGTGGCTCACCATATATTCAGGCTTTTGACCATTCATGTAAATTAGCAATAGCTTTAAAAGAGCTTTAAGCATACATACACTTTGATTAAATTGCAAATGGCGGCTCTGACTGGGCAGGCAAGACATCATGGCATCTTAGCCTCAAGTAAGTTAGAGTTTCTTGGTCCCATTTCACCACAACCTTGTGGAGAGGTAAAGATATAGTGATCAGGGAAGCATCCTCTTGGAGGTCTGTTGCGCAAAGTACCTATTTTCAGAAAGTAACTGTCCAAGTAGAATTTCCATTTAACCCATGAAATTCAAAGGGAATGTGGATGATTCCATCATGTGTATGTGACATGGAAGATCCAGGATGTAAAGGTCTGAACTGGGGGAACTAAAGAATATAGTTAGCTTAAAAATTAAATGATGGAATTGGCAGCTGAAGGAAACCTGGTAAAGAGGAGTGTGATGTGTTTGTAAAGAGTGTATAACAATGATAATTTCTCATCTCAGAAATTCAAACAAGCATTCTCTTAATGCTTGGCTACATAAAGACTGAACTGTCAGGAGTAAGTAAGTAACAGTTTATTCGACATAGAACAGTTATTAGTCATGAAGTAGAAGCTACCAACCTTGTGAAGAGTGTAAATTTAAACAGATATTCTCTTAATGCTTGGCTATATTGTTGCAGTTTTTTGTGTATATGTATGTACTAGTGAGCAAGTCAAAATGAGTTGACTCACTTTATAGTCCACTAATAGAAGGTTAACCAATCAGAAGACGTAAAATATTCAATCCGTCGTGTATAAAGGCGGACATTTTGTTTACTCTCTCCGAATGGCCAGTGCCAACTTGTCAGGTGAAAGAACAGAAGGAAGAACTACTAAACTACGCTCTGCTACTTTACCGGGATATCCACTGCTAACCTGAACTACGCTTCCCAACTGTCTTAGAAATATTCACTGCTAACCTCTGGATTCTATACTCAAAGATGACCGTCATCATGAACAACATACATAAAGACTGAACTGTCAGGAGTAAGTAAGTAACAGTTAGTTCAACATCGAACAGTTATTAGTCATGAAGTAGAAGCTACCAACCTTGTACTTTCTGCTTGAATAATGGCAGTGACAAGATCCTTATGAGCAGTTAACTTCATCACACAGTTGATGTGGTCTGTGTTGATAATAAGGATGTTGACACATCCAGCCCATATCTGATGGCTTGAAGGTGAGAACAAACAACCCTGTCAAAGAAAAATCAATAGGGTAATTATTTGTCAATAATAATAATGCTTTATATAGAATTTAGCATCTAATGTTATGCAATCTAATGTCAAGTATGTCAATATAAATCTAGGGCACAGAGTTATATTTTGATGAAATCCTTATCAAAATATAAAGCTGCATCCCAGATCTTTTCCAATATCTCCATTCCTGAAAGAATTACTCCCTTCCCAAGCCAACATATATGATTATAGAAATGTTAAAAAATTAAAAGAAAATAGTTAAAGTAATAACCTCCTTTAATTTAAAATATAACACATAAATTAATCCTAAGCTAAAATAATATAAATATTAATTGAATTAAAAAAAAAAAGTAATGTCATCATTCACTCACTATTGGTTATTAGACATTAAATTATGTCACTTATCATCTTCCATAACTTACTGAGACGTTTCAGTTAACCTGTTGAATATTTACAAGCCTTTCTTAAATACAAAAATTTTGAAAAAACTGACATATTTACTTTTGTTTATAAATACTTGTTTGCAAAATAAAATCCTTTCATGTGACACACAACCAAATATACATTATCTTTGGAATCCTGCAGTAATAAACTAGAATTATGATACATATACACACATGAATTATACACATGAGTGCTCCTTGCCAAGAAAAATGAATGTGGGGTCTGATTAAGCAAGGAAAAACAAACAACACAAAAATTAAAGTCTGTCTATATTTCTGAGATGAGGTATTATGTACAGTATTTACGTTAGTCTGACTATTGTCCTCATCTTTGTTGCCATATTTATCACAACGTTTCGGCTGTTGTACACTCCGGCCTTCTTCAGGTGGTTGGAATTTCGAACTGAACCCTTTATTTCGCTCACTGGGGTAGACCCAGAAATTCATACCCAGACGTCCTCAAGGACACATGGCACAGTGGATAAAGGCGTTGGTTAGATCCAGTGACAGATCCAAAGAGTGTGAGTTCAATACCCGGTTAAGGCAGTGAAGAACTTTTAGAGTGAAAATTAGCAGGAGATAACTGATAACTGACATCCATCAAACATGGCATGTGGAACTAGAACAGTCTACCCCAGTGAGCAAAATAAAGGGTTCAGGTTGAAATTCCAACCACCTGAAGAAGGCCGGAGCGTACAACGGCCGAAACATTGTGACAAATATGGCGACAAAGATGAGGACAATAGTCCGACTAATGTAAATACTGTACAAAAATTAAAAATAACAATTTTTTCTCCTTCATATTTCATTCTACTTTCATGCAAGATTTATAAGCATTTCCTATTTGTTCCTTATCCTTATCTTTTATTTATATATATAAATATATATATATATATAGTAAGATAATGAAGGATTCCGTGTAGATAATTCTAAAGGGGATGTAATCCAGAGAGCTCGATGTAACACTAGAGCAAGTATTGATTAATTAAATAATTAAGAAAGAGACAGCCTTAAGGTTCCATGACTATAATTTATTTCCCCAGAAAATATATTTTTCCTGGTTCATCAGGTCACATCTATAGTTAGAAAGCTTTGTAACATGAAATGTGATATTTTCTGGAGAAATAAATTATAGTCATGGAATCTAAATATATATTGTCTCTTTAATTTATTTTTTATATATATATATATATATATATATATATATATATATATATATATATATATATATATATATATATTACTTTTATTATAGTAGATTACAATAAAACATTTTAAATAAAATGTTTTATTGTAATCTATTATAATCAAAATATTATAATAATATTTTGCTCTATTTTGTATTGACCACTTTTTTAAAAAGTAAATGCTATGAACTGTGGATTTTTATTCCATCTGTTCTCTCTATTATATATATATATATATATATATATATATATATATATATACTTATTAAAAGAGAAAATAACTTACTTAGATGAAAAGTTTTTTAAAGAGCAATTACTGATTCTTGCTAAAGTGTTAACTTACACCCTGGATTCTTTCAAATATTCTTTCTTAAAAGAAAAGTTCTTTTCTCAATGCATGACAATAAAAGATATAAAAATTAAAAGAAAACAGCTAACTCAAGATCATTAAATATTTAAAATGAATTAATACATAGCTAATTAAAACAAAATAAAATACATAGAAATAAATAATAAATAAATTTGAAAAGATAATATAAAAATTCAACAACAACATTTACTCACTTTTGTCTATTAAGTAATAAATTACATCACTAAGCATCCTTAATAATTTACTTTAAGCTTTAACATTATAAATGTATATGTATATCTATGCTTGAAAGTGATGTCTACTGGCCTTTTCTTTTATTCCATCTAACAACTAAATATGTTTGAATCTAATGTATGTGAATATGTTATATTGAGAGCATGAGATGCATGCTTTTAGTGCTTTCTTCAGTTCCCATAGAGAACCTTCTACAAACCCTCCACAACCCTAACCATGGAGAACTATGATGCCAAAACTAGCAAATTTGTTACAGTAAGACAACACATTGGAAAAAAAAAAAAACAACAAAATTCTCTAGAAGAGTGAGTCCCACTTCAATGTTTATTTTTTGACTCGTTGATAAAAGACACTGGTGTGTCTGAAAATTATAACTTTAAAATTTTTCTCTTCATGCTTTGGTTTAGTCAAAAGGCCTACTAATATAAAATAAATATCATCAGTCTTATTGACAATATTTTTATCATTTTGTTGTCTTTTTATACCTTGAATTTCATTAATTGACATTAAATCTACACACACACACACACACACACACATATATATATTTATAAAGGTAAAAGACAATTGGAAAAAATGTAATATTAGCCGATGTGTTTCGTCCAATGTGGACTTTTTCAAGACAAAAACAAAATGAATTTATTAAAACAAAGTAAATATTAACAACAAAACAAAATGTTCTTAGCAATTGGAAGAATTTAGAAAACGCTATCTTCCATTTTGTTTTGTTTTTAATAGTTACTTTGTTTTAATAAATTCATTTCATTTTTGCCTTGAAAAAAAGTCCACATTGGATGAAACGCATTGAACAATATTACAGTTTTCCTATTGTCTTTTACCTTTATAAATATTGTCTTTTTTCTACAGGTTAACTCTGAGAAATTTTTATATATATATATATATATATATATATATATATATATGTGTGTGTGTGTGTGTGTGTATTGAACTCCATTAAAAATTATAGAAAAAAAATCAATACATTTAAATAGTATAACTAAAATCTCATTTTTGTGCAAAAATAGGATCACATGAGCACCAAATTCAAATTCCGACATTAGCATTTATTAACCAAGCAGTGATGTTATCTCAATGCCATTCAAGCTTTCAAAAAGCAGACAACCATTTTTATCATTTGCTAAAAAAAATTTGAAAGACCATATCAGAATATGCTTATCACTCTTTTCCCTCCTAAAAATAGATATTAAAAATTGAGAAATTTATTTATTGACCAATAAAACCTCTGAGTTTAGTAAATCTAATTTTTAACTTCCTGTGATCCAATTTTCTCTTAAAATAGTGTAATGTAAACTATTAAAACTATTGGTATCAATCAACTGGAGGATGTGAATAATACTGAATACTCAAATGAACTATTTGACTACTAAGTCTTTCTTGCAAATTATTTCTTGTTTTTAAAGCATTTTCATAAACCAGTTCACACAGTTTACAATATGAAAAATATACAAGCGAAATATATAAACAAAGCGTAATTGAAGCAACAGTACAAAACTTACACATACATAAAATAATGTAACTCATGATTTATGTATGAAGAGTTCACAAAACCTTTTCATCTTATACTAACACAATTCATTTCTTTCATGTTTTAAAAAACAAAAACATTTTTCCTTGAACTTTGTGAGGAATTTTGCAACTTAAAAGAAAAAAGATTGCTTTTATACTCAATAATAAAATTATTTAAATTTGTAGAGCTGTGTTTGAAGATTATTTCTTTTCTTTGCTTTCCACACACTTTTTCCTCTATTTATACGTATTTATTAAAAGAAAAAAAGAAAACGTTTTTGAAAGTGTAATTATTGATTCTTGCTAAAATGTTAACTTATGCACTGGATATTTTCAAATATCTTCTTTCTTGAAAGAAAAGCTCCTTTTTCAAACCAACATAGATGACCATAGATGTTTTAAAAATTAAAAGAAAATAGTTAATCGAAAGTATTAAAGAAAATGTGCTTCTCAGCAGGAATTGAACCTTTAAAGTGTTTTTCTCAGGTTAAGTGGTAATGCAGGTTCAATCTCTGTTGAAAGGTAATGTCTTTTATCAGACATGATTGTTTAGGTTGGTAGATGTCAATTTCATTGTTTAGAAAGTCTGGAGGTCAACTCAAAGCTGTGTACTAAATATAATGTTTGAATCTAAAGTTTGTTGAAGGAAGAGGAGAAGCTATAAAAGAAGGAGGAGCTGTAAAATGATATAATGTTTGAATCTAAATTTTGCTGTAAAAGGAGGCGTAGCTGTAAAATGATAAACAGCAGATTGGGATAATGTGTCGCAATAATCTTCTAAGAAGGGAAGACCTGAATGTTCAGGATTTGAAATGGTATTTTTTTATTTACATTGTTTGAACTGTTGTCCTCATCTTTATTGCTATATTATAAGTCCCAAAAATTCATACACTGATGTCCTCAAAGACATGGCCCAGTGGATAAAAGCATTGGTTGAATCCAATGACTTGACCCAAAGAGTTGTGAGTTCAATACCAGGCTGGCTACTTGGAGAAAAACTTGGAGAATTGAATTAAAGGGAGATATCCAGAAGAGGATGTAGAACTAAAACAATCTACCCTGGTGGATGAAACAGATCAGTTCAAAATTCCAATCACCTGAAGAAGGCCAGAGCATACAATGGCCGAAACGTTGTGAATATGGTAATAATGGTAATGTGGACAACAGTCTGAACAATGTAAATAATTATATTACCTCATCTCAGAAATATAGACAGATAGTGGTGTTTTGTTTTTTTTTTAAATTTAGGCATGAAAAATGATGAAATTAGGCTTCAGGGGAGATAAATGTGTATGTACCTTTTGTTTTTTTCAAGACATACAATGTACATTTTAATGACTTACCACTGTTTGATTGGTTTGTACAAATTCTTTTTCTAGTTCCCACTCATTGGCATCAAAGACCCTCACAACACCATTACCCAGAGCACACCATAACTGTGACCTTTCACCTTTATAAAAAAAGAAAAGATAAAAAAAAAGTTTAACTTTCAGACCATCAAAAAAAAAAAAAAAAAAAAGCCAGTGTGTCAAAAGGTCATTTTTTGAATTTATGTGGTGAGGGCAAATGAAAGAAAATTTAATTTTTTAAAATTAAACATTACAGTTACTCATGTCTATTTAAATTTTCTTGTTCAGAGACATTTTTATAAATTTATGAATAAAAAGTTTCTTTTATTATTTACTATTTTATGAAGAAATAAATATGAAATCTTTATAAAATGGTAAATGATAAATATTGCATTGTAGTTGCTTCACTTAATCTTGTAAATATAAACAATCTAACAACTAAATCATGTGCAACATTTTTGTTGTTATTAAAATTCTAAAGATAGCTTTTTAAAACAAACATTGTCAAGGGAGCCAAAGAAGTATACAGTAATAGCGGCGTCAAGAGAAAAATAATGATTTTTTGTCAGCCTGTGTTTTTGCAGGTCTGAAGGTTAAACTTTACCAAAATACAGAAATAATATTGGGTAGAGACAAAAGCTGTAATTAATATTTCATTATTATAATTTAAATTTTTTATTTGTTAATAGAATATTTCCATAACAGTTTCATAATGGGGTCTTCTAGAGATAATGCCAACAAACAGAGGTATGTGAATACCAGCCATATCAAGCTGCAAATGAACCCCCGAAACATGGTATTCATGGTACAATAACTGACTTTTGAAGCAAAAGTTCTTGAGGAAAAAGTGGGGATCATACTGGCAAAAAATGCTAAATTGTTAAGGATGATACCAAATGTTAAGTTGGTCATGACATCACTTAATGACAGAAAATATGTTAATTGATTGATTTGTTTCTTTTCTAGGATTTATCAACTCTTTGCAGATTATTTAAAGCCAGAAAATGTTTTGGAGATGATAATAGTTTAGTGATACAAGTTTTACTAATTAACCCATAGAGGAGGGAGAAGAGGTGAATTCAGACCTTTCCCAGGGTATATGCACATAAGTGAATATAACAAACCCAACAGGAATTGGAACTCAGCTCTCTATTATATCTATTATATTACACATGTACAATCAAGCTTACAGTACCTGGTATTCCCAAGTGGTCACCCATCTAGGTACTAACCAAGCTCAATGTTGCTTAACTTCTGTGATCGTAAGGGAACAAATAATTCAATGTGATGTGGCTGTAAGCCAGAAAACATGTCAAACTGCATCACAGAAATACACTAAACTTGTTACATCATCAAATGGTAGAAAATTTACCAAAAACAGTTGTGACATCACTGAATGTTAAAATAAAAGAAAAAAAAAAACAAGTATAAATGATAGTTATGGTTGTACAAAAGGTAAACAAAAATGAAGAAAAAAGTAAACAAAAGCAACATGACAAACAAAAATTTAGATTTTTTTATCTGTGCCATCTGTGTTTTCATTATTTTTACCTGTGGCACCTGTGTTTTCATTATTTTTACCTGTGATACCGGTTTTCATTATTTTTACCTGTGGCACCTGTGTTTTCATTATTTTTACCTGTGATACCTTTTTTCATTATACCTCATATTTTTGCATTTTATCACTGTCTGTATAACTTTAAATACATTTAAATTTTCCTCAACTTTTTCCAGTTGAATGGTGTATCCTGGATCATCAAAGAATTTGCGTAGTACGTTTTTAATTTGATTTATTTGATAGAGAATCAGACATTTCATCATTGGATCTAATATTATGATCAAAGTGAATGTCATTGTTTTCACTATCGCTTGAAAAGAAATCAGACATTATTTTTTTAAAAAAAAGCATTTCAACACTTTTCGGGTTATTCAATGGCATAATTTTTACATAGGGATATTTTTAGTTTAGTTTGGCGGTTGATTTAATAGTAATTTTTTTTTATTATTTTTCTAGTAGCTATTTATATTATATTTGGACTATTGTCCTCATCTTTGTTGTTATCACAAGTTTCAACCATTGTGCCCTTTGGCCTTCATCAAGTGTATATCAACCCAGGTAACCTATAGGGAATTCTGAACCCTTTATTTAATCTATAGGGGTAGACTGTTCTCGTTCTACTGCCCATGTCTAGTTGTTTTCAGTATTGCTCAGTTATTGTTCACCAAGGCCCATTGCATCCAAAATGCATAATGCTCGACCAAGGGATTATTCAAATTCAGTTGCTGTAATGCATTAGGTTTGTCAGAAACAGTTGCAATATCAACAATCATAAGGACAATAGTCTGAAAAAATGATTAGTAATATTAAATCGCATAATTTCCTATAAGGAAACATTTGCATTCATTACTAGGAAGCAATTCATTACAGTTTTTGGTTGAAATTCATAAAATTTTGTTGAAACACTTTTAAAGGGAAAACAGGTAATTTCTTTCCACTAGATAGCTTTCTATTTGAAAATGGTTTTTGCTGTTCATTATTTCCATTACTGATGAGTTCCAATTTTGTTGTTATTTGGAATGGAATCATTTTCTTCATAGGGTATTATTTTTTTTGAGTTCCATGTGCTATCCATTTTAGTTGTTTTTGTTAATAGTCTGTTCCAATTCTAGTTTATGTGAAATACCATTGGTTTTTCATGTTATTTGTTGTTTTATTCATAGAACTTCTATACCAGGATTATACGATTATTTTTATTTTTTGAGTTCCATATGCTATCCATTTTAGTTCATGCTGTTGGTAGTCTTCAAATGAGGTGGTTTCTGTTCCAACTCATCTCTAGTTTATGGAGAACTTCTATACCAGGATTATATTATTTTTCTCTTTGAGTAAAATATGCTATCCATTTTAGTTGTTGCTGCTGTTGGTACTTAAAGTGATGTGGTTTCTGTTCCAGTCATCTCTAGTTTTTTGGAATCTATACCAAGATTATAAATTATTTTTCTCTTTGAGTTCCATGTGCTATCCATTTTTTAGTAAGAGCTGTTGTTAGTCCATGTGGTTTGTTCCTCCATCTCATTTTATGTAGAACTTTTTGATTATAATTATTTTTCTTTGAGTGTTGGTATCCATTTTACATGTTTGAGTTGGTATGTGGTTTCTGTTCCACTCATCTCTAGTTTATGTGGAACATATACCAAGATTATAATGATTATTTTCTTTGAGTTCCATGTGCTATCCATTTTTAGTTGTTGCTGCTGTTGGTAGTCTTCAAGTGATGTGGTTTCTGTTCCACTCATCTCTAGTTTATGTAGAACTTCTATACCAGGATTATCGATTATTTTTCTTTGAAAGTTCCATGTGCTATCCATTTTAGTTGTTGTTGCTGTTGGTAGTCTTCACTGAGGTGGTTTCTGTTCCATTCATTCTAGTTTATGTGGAACTTCTATACCAAGATTATACGATTATTTTCTCTTTGAGTTCCATGTGCTATCCATTTTAGTTGGAGCTGTTGGTAGTCTTCAAGTGAGGTGGTTTCTGTTCCACTCATTCTAGTTTATGTGGAACTTCTATACCAGGATTATCCATTATTTTCTTTTGAGTTCCTGCTGTTGTGTCTTATCCATTTATTCTTTAGTTTATTTGTTGGTATACCTTGATTAATGGATTATTTTCTCTTGGTTTCTGTATCCATTTTAGTCATTTGTTTAGTCTTTATGTGGTTTCTGTTCCACTCATCTCTAGTTTATGGACAGGATTATATTTATTATTTTCTCTTTGAGTTCCATGCTATCCATTTTAGTTGTTACAGCTGTTGGTAGTCTTCAAGTGAGGTGGTTTCTGTTCCACTCATCTCTAGTTTATGTTTTATACCAGGATTATGTCATTATTTTCTCTTTGAGTTCCATGTGCTATCCATTTTAGTTGCAGCTGTTAAGTCTTCAAGTTGAGGTGGTTTCTGTTCCACTCATCTATTTGTGGAGTTTCTATACCAGGATTATAATTATTTTGGAGTTCCAACATTTTAGTTGTTGCTTTTAGTAGTCTTCAGTGATGTGGTTTCTGTTCCATCATCTCTATGGAACTTCTATACCAGGATTATGGGATTATTTTCTCTTTTGAGTTCCATGTGCTATCCATTTTAGTTGTTGCTGCTGTTGGTAGTCTTCAAGTGATGTGGTTTCTGTTCCACTCATCTCTAGTTTATGTGGAACTTCTATACCAGGATTAAAATGATTATTTTCTTTTGAGTTCCATGTGCTATCCATTTTAGTTGTTGCTGAAATAGTCTTCAAGTGATTTGTTTTTGTTCCACTCATCTCTAGTTTTGGTTATTTTCTCTTTCTTTAAGCTATCCATTTTAGTTGTTTTGAATTTTCACTCATCTCTAGTTTATGTGGAACTTCTATACCAGGATTTAAGGGATTATTTTCTCTTTGAGTTCCATGTGCTATCCATTTTAGTTGTTGCTGCTGTTGGTAGTCTTCAAGTGATGTGGTTTCTGTTTCCTCATTCTAGTTTATGTGTATACCAGGATTATTTATTTTTCTTTGAGTTCCTATCCATTTTTATGGTAGTCTTCAAGTGATGTATCCTAGTTTATGTGGAACTTCTATACCAGGATTTTTATTATTTTCTCTTTGTTCCATTGCTATCCATTTTAGTTGTTGCTGCTGTTGGTAGTCTTCAAGTGATGTGGTTTCTGTTCCACTCATCTCTAGTTTATGTGGAACTTCTATACCAGGATTATTTTCGATTATTTTTCTCTTTGAGTTCCATGTGCTATCCATTTTAGTTGTTGCTGCTGTTGGTAGTTTTCAAGTGAGGTGGTTTCTGTTCTTGTTCATCTCTAGTTTATGTGGTTTCTTTCTATACCAGGTTATTATTTTCTCTTTGAGTTCCATGTGCTATCCATTTTAGTTGTTGCTGCTGTTGGTAGTCTTCAAGTGATGTGGTTTTCTGTTCTTTACTCATCTCTAGTTTATGTGGAACTTCTATACCAGGATTATATGATTTTTTTTCTCTTTGAGTTCCATGTGCTATTGTTGGTAGTCTTCAAGTGAGGTGGTTTCTGTTCCACTCATCTCTAGTTTATGTGGATTTTTATACCCATTTTATTTTCTCTTTGAGTTCCATGTGCTATCCATTTTAGTTGTTTGTTGGTAGTCTTCAAGTGATGTGGTTTCTGTTTCATCTCTAGTTTATGTGGGTCTTCTATGGTGGAGATTATATTTATTTTCTATGAGATTATTTTCTCTTTGAGTTCCATGTCTATCCATTTTAGTTGTTTGCTGTAGAGTCTTCAAGTGAGGTGGTTTCTGTTCCACTCATCTCTAGTTTATGTGGAACTTCTATACCAGGATTATACGATTATTTCTCTTTGAGTTCCATGTGCTATCCATTTTAGTTGTTGCTGCTGTTGGTAGTCTTCAAGTGATGGTTCTGTTCCACTCATCTCTAGTTATTGGAACTTCTATACCAGGATTATCTGATTATTTTTTCTTTTGAGTTCCATGTGCTATCCATTTTAGTTGTTCTGCTGTTGGTAGTCTTCAAGTGATGTGGTTTCTGTTCCACTTTGACTCTAAATTTTATGTGGAACTTTTATACCAAGGATTATCTGATTATTTTCTCTTTGAGTTCCATGTCTTCCATTTTAGTTGTTTGCTGTTGGTAGTCTTCAAGTGATGTGGTTTCTGTTCCACTCATCTCTAGTTTATGTGGAACTTCTATACCAGGATTATATGATTATTTTCTCTTTGAGTTCCATGTGCTATCCATTTTAGTTGTTGCTGCTGTTGGTAGTCTTCAAGTGATGTGGTTTCTGTTCCACTCATCTCTAGTTTATGTGAACTTCTATACCAGGATTATACGATTATTTTCTCTTTGAGTTCCATGTGCTATCCATTTTAGTTGTTGCTGCTGTTGGTAGTCTTCAAGTGATGTGGTTTCTGTTCCACTCATCTCTAGTTTATGTGGAACTTCTATACCAGGATTATAATGAATTATTTTTCTTTGAGTTCCATGTGCTATCCATTTTAGTTAGTTGTTGCTGTTGTTGGTGGTCTTCAAGTGATGTGGTTTCTGTTCCACTCATCTCTAGTTTATGTATTGATACCAGGATGTGATGATTATTTTCTCTTTGAGTTCCATGTGCTATCCATTTTAGTTGTTGCTGCTGTTGGTAGTCTTCAAGTGAGGTGGTTTCTGTTCACTCATCTCTAGTTTATGTGGAACTTCTAAAACCAGGATTATATTTATTATTTTTCTCTTTTGAGTTCCATGTGCTATCCATTT